TCTCTTCTTCTTCGGGGACGGGAGTGTAGTCCTCGAGGGGATGGGCCTTTTCTATGCGCATCTTAACGCCCTTCAGCACAGCACCGTTGAGTTTCTTCTTGAGCTTTTCGGCGTCCGCCTCGGGGAGATCGACGTAGCCGTAGCGCTTCTCGGGAAACGTCTCGATTGTGTGGAACGATAGATTGCGGGCGTTTGGCAGGGCCGAGGACGGGACAACAATCTTCAAGAGGTCCTTGTCGAAAGGAGTGATGTGCAACCGCGTGAAGGCGCTGCTGGTGTCAGATGAAGGTCCAGCAGAATCGAGAGTAGCCGGTGCGACGACACTTGAGGTCATGATTAGATATTATCGGGTGGAGGGAAGGATAAAACGAACAGACTCGTAACGCTGGCTGGGCGTCGTATGCCCGTCAAGTCGAGATGTCGAGAAAATGGCGGTTCCTAGGAGCTCAGCTAACGAAGCTTCACAGAGGAGGATTTTGCCAACCCAGTCGAAAACCTTGTTGTTGCGCAGGGATTTTCATTGGCCCGCACGTCTGGCGCCGGACAGTAGACGCGCACACGCACTGTATTATAGCACTGTCAACCCCACCCCCGGCCCCCCACCCCGCCTATGCTTGCTTATGTCATCTCGCTAACGCGCTCTTGAACCATTGTTTCTCATCATGAACAGCAGCACCTTTGCTCCATGAATACCCCGTAGCAGCTGGGTATCAATGGACTCTTCCAAACATTGATACGAGGTTACTGCCCAGTTCAGTCCTAGTTCTGATACTATCATCGTCCTATAGACTGTACTGAGTGTTCTGTCCGTTGCCGGCCAAGATGGGAAAAGACGATTGTGCCTTCTCACCATTTATTAATACCCGCTATCACCCTTCGCTAATTGAGGAAGCCGTGATGTGATGCATCTTGAACCGTTTCGTTATGAGGCAAGTACACTACCTCACTGGCTCCTTTACCAATACAACATGCTGTACGAACCTCCATCTTGCCCATATTTCCCTTGCGTCTTATTACCCAACCTCGTCAACCCTAGCGACGTCGCCTTATGATTCCAGCCTTCCGTCAAGGCCACGTACGCACCTTGACTTTGGTCTCCTCTCTCTGTTTTCTTATCTGCAATATCCTTTGCCATACTTGTCTCTCGACAGCTCCTTTATTCTTCTCTGAGCTGTCCTTCGAAAATGGGCGGCGGCTCCAACCTCGGTGGTAATGATTTCCAAAGGCCCCCCTCGAGTATCCAGCCCAACGGCTTCATCCATGAACGACCTCGAATAACGCAGCTGCCTGGGGTTTTTGTTCCATCGTGTAATAATGGTTCTGTCATCTACCCGTCAGCCACGCAGAAGAATCCAACACCTCAGCGACGCGTATCTATCGTCCCGCCCGCACCGTCCACCACTCTCAACTGTAGCTTGCTTAGCCATGGCGATGACGCAACCATGGACTGGGTTCCTCAAGCGAGCCCAGTATTCCGTCGACCCTCTCGATGTATGAGTGTAGGAGAGATTGGTGTTGATTCGACCAGCTCAGAATCTGTCGAGGAGATTGATGGTGAAGCGGAATCGGCGGTTGTCTCTGGCGAAAGTAAGAAAAATCCTCGAAACACCATGTTCATGCTTCCTCGACTTGCCGCTAACCACCCTGGACAGCCGACAGTCGCCCTCCCAGCGGGCCGCTTGATCCATACCTTGCACGCGATGGTGCCAAAACGGAGGAAACTATACCAACTGCCTCGCACCAGCCTTCTTCGATGGCGTCAGTACGATCCCCTACTGACATCGCGAGCGACAAGGACGCCGGCACCGTTCCTCAAGATCCAAAAAGTGTTTTTCTAGACAAGAATACAGAAACTCCAGGGCGATCTGGCTACACAATATGGGGCAAATCCCATACGCGAATGCAGCGCATTATGGCAAAGGTCCGAGACCACCTTGCTGGGCATCGGAAGACAGAAGCCATCCCACCCGAAGAGACCAACCTACCCACTGATACCTGTTCACGAAATTCTTGCCAGTATGTCCTTGATGACAGTCAGGTCCAAGGTATTGTTGAGATGGTCTTTCAGGAAATGTGCAAGCATGATTTCAGCTCCCAAAGCATGGCAGCTGGCGAAACCCATCAAGCAATAGATGATTCGGTGCCCAAGTGGCTTTCAAGGAAGCCCAGTTGTCTCAAATCTTCAATTGAGCCCCAACCTTCAACTACAGTTGACCCTGCAACCACCATCAGCGAGCCAGAGACTTCATTCGTTGCTCGAAGCGCCTCAGATGGTCAGGTCTACTCGAAAACAAGGCCTCAACAAGTACCTTGCACAACAATCTTCTGCCAGGGAAGCAGTACTGACATCCAGTGGAGCGACGATAGCGGAACCGGCCTACTCGATACTTCCACCGTCAGTGAGCCTAGTCGCACTCCCGGTCCGGCAGCTACCCAGCAAACACCCGACTTTCATGGCTTCCCTCTTGATCCTCAAATTGAGTCCAAGTCCAGTCTGGAAAAGGAAAACATGAAAGAATTTGTCACCCATGGCGATGACGACAAAAGTCGTAGAATGACGTCTTTCCCAACACTGTCGGAGCGACATTGCACCAAGGATTGGTTGAGTCCTCCTGTCAACCTTATCGACTCGCGAAATGGCGCCGACATGTATCATCTTGGCATCGACGCAAGATCCAATAGTATTCCCTCCATCAGCCGTGAGCTGGCTGCAGAACAAGCACAGCAGCCCTGCGAGGCGAGCGACTCCCTACTTGCGTCAGCCGAAAGTGGAAAGCAACAACCCGCTCAGCTCGCTAATTCTCTCACGAAAGAGTATCCAGGCCCCGAACATGGCTTTATGCAGAAGCTTAGCCGAAAGATCAGCTCCGTCTTCCAAGGTTCGGATAGCGTTAGCCGCCCAACGCGCGCACCGGCACCTTCAGAGATAGAAGGCCAGGTTTCTGGCAAGTTGACTGAGGCTCTCGGTGCAAGTCGACCACTCGCCGGAGACCAAGGTCCAGACGCTGGGTCTTTTTCTGAACCCGAGCCTAACACCGTCTACCAGGCCATGACTTTGTCGAGGCCGAGCAAAGGGGGGCCGCAGCGTCGGAGCACTTGCTCCGAGGACAACATCCCGCATCAGTGTGACGATGATATCAGCACGTCCGGGGTGACAACACCATGTGCCGAGGCAACTTCTTAATCCATCGTGGGCGAGGCTAGAGATTGAATGGAGGATTAAAAGAGTAGCCTAGATATCATTTACTCTCGATTAGGCAACTCATGCTACCTATGTCATAACTCGCCTTTCATTAGCTGTCAAATGCTCCAACATGCGTGAGTGACTGGGGTGAGGAGGCGAAGCTGGAATAGAAGGAGCAACTCATCATCCACGTTGGTCGCTTTGGTGCTTCTTTTGAAACCGACCCCCAGCCCAACTCCCATCCACTCGTCAACAATCCGTTGCCCTCGTCAGTTTTTGGTACTTATTTCATGGCAAACTTTGGTGTTGCTGAATCCGCCCACCTGCCGCATCGCAGGACCGGGCAGGGAAACAGCCAATTGAACTTGTTAGGAAGGACAATGTTCATCCTTTTAACAAAGACAGCAGCCTAACAAACTTGCAAAAGGGCTTTCTAGACATTTATCGCTATCTCACTCGGTCAACTGCTCCAGACTATCACTACGCCATACTGCCGTGGATGCTTCCTCCTTCCTACCGTTCTTGAAACCGAGTCCGGTAGTAGCAGAGAAGAAGTCTAGTCTTTATAGCAGCCATTCAACTCGCCTCTGTCGCATATCGATTGCTCATACTAACGTCTGTGGATTGGGAGGCACCCTCCAAATCTCCCATACCGACGTCACCATCTGCATCTTCCGTATCCATTTAGTCCACACTCGCCAGCTTTACCTTCTTTAGTTTGGCAATCATGAAAAAGAAAGGAGCCGCTCACTTTCATCTAATTTGGCTATCCTCTTTTCAGATCGCAGTTGGAGCCTTCCCGCCCATCAGTCTCATACACTCAACTTCTCTCACCTTCTGATAATAAAGCAACCCGAAGTAGTTCGAAGAAAGCTACATCATCGAAACCCATTCGTTGTTCCCGGGAGACGGCATCATAGTGTCCTCCAAGTATCTCTACGTCTTGGACATCTTAGGCGAAGCGATCTCCCACAAGGTCGAATCAGAGGAGAATCGTATTCTTCCAGAAGTCTCCGTTCTCCGTTTCGATGGAACTATGACTGAAGAGGCGCGAGACGTTATCCTCGCCGAACCGTGGTGGACCCGCGCAGATAAGCTGCAGGCCATCTCTAGATGCTATCATCAGGGGCAGACAAAGGTCTACGTCTATCGAATCGTGTCCCTCAACTTAGTAATGGCGCTCCACGTGCGCCGCTGCGCGAATCAAAGGTTCGGTACCACCAATGCGGTCGTCAAAAAGCTCGTCAGAGCCAATCAGGAGGATCCGACCGTTGACATACCTCTGTTCACGAATGACTACGTCGTCGAGGCCCCCTCTCACATTGTGTTTACGTTGAAGGTGGACACGATCAACATCGATGGCGAGTCCTAAGAGGTGAAGGCCGCATGGAATCAGGGGTGCAAGGCTAGGTAACATAGGAAAGGGAAGAAGCTGATGGGATGAGCTTCAAGCTGTAGAAGATTGCTATGATGAAGAATGGATGACGGGTTTTATTGGCAATGGCTTGCGACGCCCAGGGCCGGCAGCGAGATCACAAAATGCAAGCAGAGAAATTAAAGCAAAGGGTGGCCCGGCAGGAAGTTTCAATTAAAAAAACACGGGGATCCTTCCTCTTTGCATATCTCATCCCACACTTTGCTTTCATGAGTCGGTCTCAACAATGATCAGCTTCACGTATTCTTCCGGACGGGACTGTTTATTTGAGAGGTTGCCGGCAGCAGGCGGATCCCCGTCACGCCACGCTCCACTAAAGCTTCCCCACCTCGGGCTATTACGAACATATATCAAAATTGAGCCATATATTTCATCAACAACGGGCGCTTGGTCTAGGGGTATGATTTTCGCTTCGCGTTTCGGACTGTTCCGGACGTGGATTGTGAAAGGTCGTGGGTTCAATTCCCACAGTGTCCATTTTTTGCTCTTTGTCCCATGTGTTTTTTCTGTTTTTTCTGTTTTTTCTGTTTGGTCGGTTTGAAGTTGTTACGAGATTCCGTTGATGATGTACGGCAGTCTGCAGAGCTTACTCCCTCAAAACAGAAAAGATAAAGGCAAAATCCATGAAGCAGCATCGCGACCTCCGACACGCCAAGGCATCTCATCGTTCACCTCCACTTTCATCTTAACTCTTACGTAAAGGCAGAGGCCCAACAGATGCGTGTTCTATTGTATGTATCTACAGGTCTCCCTCCCTCTTTCTCTTTCTTAGGGTACGACTTGAGTTGAACAAAGAGATGCCTTATCGGTACTTAGATGATACATAGTCCCGCTACACATTTCTTTGAGAACAAGCGCCTTCTAGGAACCGAAAGAAATTCGTCCCATACACACATTATAACAACCTAAGCGTGTAATTAAGTAATAAGTATTTGGTAAGCATGTGATGCTGTGATCATTCCTCCCCACATGAGGTCTCGACGACCTCGTTTCATCGAGAGAGACGTCTGCGTTCGCCTTATTCGGTGCAAACGCAATGCTTCCAAGAGAAATAAGGGGGTTCTGGTAAAGCCGACCCATACGGCATGTTTGAAAATAAGCAAATGAAGCACAGTCAGCTACAGAAAGGGGGGCTAAAATAGATCTACAAGTCCACAGAATAGGTATCGGGCCCGTAAGCTAGATCCAGAGGCCCCGAAATTTAAGTTTTATGAAACGCGCACTTCTAAGGTACGCTTTTTTTCGGAGGCGGGACACATATTACTTGAACACGGTAAAAGGGCGAGAGAAAAGGAATAAACGAGGTTGTTGATAGGGATTTAAGATCCCAAAGAGTCGCTAGGAGTCCAGCCGCAAAAAAGAACGTTCCAAGTCGGGCACGCACAAAATGAGGCACTCGTCAGTGCCCAAAGGGTTGGGCGCTGCAGAGCAATTCGAGCAGCAGTTTATTAACCGGCAGAAATCGGGGCAGATAGTATCTCGTCTGAGGGTACCAACAGAAGCAGCGTTCATACGTCCAGCTTGACCACTCAAGCCGCACCCACTGGGGGTGCACTCCAGAAGCGGAAGCGGGGCAACTCGGTTGTCGATGACGCTCGAGATCAAAAGAAGACCGGTATGTGCATATCATGTTATATATTTACCCTATACCATGAGTAAACTACTGGTGTCAGGTGTGGTTTCCAAAGCCCCATCCGGGTCATCTATCGAGAATTCGGCGGCGGCCACGAACACAATGCTTGAGATCGAGTCCGAGTCAAGTGATCACATGTCAGACGATGTCAGCCGAGACAATGATACATCTCCGAGTCCGCAGACGTCCACTAGAGATTCTACAGAAGGCCCAGGCAGCGACTCTGACGTCGATTCAGGAAGCGAAGGGGACAATGAGGTGGTTGACGATGGAATGTCTCCCTCGAGCCTTGAATCTGGTCAGGAGGAGTACGATCAGAAGACTCTCCTTGATTAACTATAGTGATGTTCTCCACGGGCAGAAGGACTATCATGGTATTCACAATGAATATTGAGACACAGATGATGACATGATCGAAGGGACTGGGATTTGTGCGGACTCGGAGCCGGAACCAAATCCTGAAGAGGATTGATGCATGTCAATCAAATCTTTATATGAGATATAATACCGATTGGTCACCCGGGAATGGGGGCTTCTTTCCACGGCATTCTATCTTTTCAGAGTGTTCCGATTCGACCAAAGCCTACCCGATGGCGATCGACCGATTTTGCTGATGGGGACGTATCCAACCTCTGAGATTTACCTCAAGCGGTCAGTAAGCTGAGGATCGTTCAGGCGACCAAACCCCTTCCGCAAATTTTGACCGTAATATGCTGCAGATAGTCACATCGTCTCGGTAGTCTGTTCGTCGGTTGTTTAGACGAAACCCCGGAATCGCAACCCTTCTGCCTTTGAGCAGCGGGGTCTGGGGATTCGCTGCCCAGCATGTCTGATCGGCAATCGCCTTGAGGCCTGTCGCATCATCCAGCCGCCATGAATGGAGTGTCGACACGCGTCGTGGGCCTTTTCGCGATGTGTGGCTCGGAAGCTTATTGTTCTACGGCGGAGCACGCCACACTGCCGGGAACCGGATTTGGGTTAAACCAAAGGCAAACATTCGGTTGGAGCCGGCGATGCGAAAGTAATTACGGCGGCAGACTTGTCCAATCAGGAAAAGTCTTACGGAACGCTGACACGCGGCTGAGGAATAACCATCGACGTCGACTCATGAAAATACTACTGCTGGCGTGGATCAGAGGGTTCGATCATGAAACAAGAAATCAGACAGTTTCGCCTGATATTGCATTGATTGCTCCCATTCAATGAGTGCGGGCTGTTCCGGTTGAGCTCGGCCGAGGGGCTATGCTGCTTGGGGAATCTCCCGGCGGTGGATTTCACATTGCTTTGTGCCGTGCCTGAGCACACTGCGTAGAAGAACTGTCGTTGCATATGCCGCTCTTCATGATCGACAGCTGGGCCGAGGTTTATTTGCGGTGTCGGGAATGCCCAACCGGCCGTGCGCTGACTGACACATGCCGTTCAGCGCCCGTTCCTTCACAAGATCGAATCATTTGCTTTGCCCGGCATGGTGAAAGATTACCACTGGACCGAGAAGGACAACCACCTGGCTACGGGAGTCCATTTGCCGGGTTTGATCTTGATCTGAGTCTCGATCTCACTTCAGGCGCCTCTATTATTTGTTCCGCGCTGTCGGTGTTACTGGGGCATTCACTGTTTACGCAAGTTTTTGCTTATGCACTGTTCAGGAGGCTTGCTATGCCGTTGTTGTTTTCTAGCGACGGTTTTTTATTTTTTATTTTTAAACATCAAGATGTTAGTAGTGACACCTCGTTGGTCTGCGACATCACCTGGTAGCAAGAAAATATTCAAACTTTGGCGGTTGCTTGTCTGAATATCTTTTTACGTATTTGTACGCTGCTGATAGTTTGGCGGACCCTGAGACAAGAATAGGGGCAAGAAAGATTATAGAGAAGGCTTCTATCCCCCAAAAAGGTGGCTCGGGCCATCCCCTTGTCAACCTACGTGATGAAACGGGGATTGAGGGCTTTTGTACTACCATATTAAATGCTTCGAAGGGGTTCAATCTAATACGCTATTAGTTGGGATGGCACATCAGCAGTCCGGTGTGACTATCCCCCCCCTTTTTGGGAAGTTCAACGGTCTTTTTAGGTTCGTGGCTGTTGTTTGGAGGAGGTTGAGTTGCCAATAGGGAGCTTTCCACCGCCATAAATCTACGCAGCGAACATGGGTGTAAACCGAGCTGATAAAATATATCTAGAAGCCATATTTGGAGCGAGTGATATTTGGTGGCTTTATTAAAACTGAGGAACGTTAAGAGTGTGAATGACCAGAGTTCGCATTCCAGACTTTTACTCTCCAGCTTGGCGATCAGGCGGCCATCTGAAAACAACGCAACTATCACGAAGGTCGTGGCTGAGTGAACCAACCATAACCCAAATAGGATGCCATTTCTTGTAGTTTCCTGTAATTCCATGGACACACTCTTCTTTCTGCATACCAAGCGGTGAGAGGCACCTTAGGCATTGCGATTAGTCCCTTCGTGACTTCACCTCGTTGGGATGTTTCGTCGAATGATGGCCGGTCCTGGCAATCAAGCGTTTCAGCTTTGATACTCAAACTATACGAAATCAGAAGCCAGGCCGTCGGGTAGTTAAGACCTATCCCATTGTAGGTCCTATAAGAGAAATGAAGTCCCAGCTGCGCCAACGTGATTGGCTCCCCCCACGTCTCGACCAAGTCCCCGTTCATGAGGTTGTTCCAAACGTCTTGTTCATACTGCAGGGAAAACGGCGACCGCCCGGAGGTCTCCTCAATCTCCCCTGCAGATGGCAAAGGGTCGAGTCCCAAAAGCATACACGCAACCCCACACCGTGCACGCAAGCACAAATCGGATGAGTTTTCACCTCACCCTCATCAAGCAACAGCTGACCCCCCTCAACCGGCATCATGGGCCAACCCAAGGACGCGAGCGTGTCAAGTCGTCCCAAAGGGACCCTATTTCGATGCCTTCATGCGGTTGTGTTGAACGCCAACATGATGTTTTGTGTCACATCGCCAAAAGAGGCAACGTTGGGGAGAAAGGCAGTTGTTGACCGCATACTCTCTACGCAGAAGCTTTACCGCCCCACTACGCCCAGAACAGGAAGTTCTGGAGAGAACATGAGTACTAAATATGAGTGGCCGGTTGAGTCGAGATATTGATAAAAGCGAGCTGAAGGCCACACCGCTTCCTATCGGGGCTCTTGTTCGACGTCGTTCTCCCTACTACTTACGCTAGTCTCCTTCGCGCCCACGACATAATCTAATCCAACGGTTTCCCTCCGTCTACTGTATCCGCAATAACCCACGTCGAAAATGCTCGGATCCAAGGTTCTCAGCGGGGCCCTGTACGCCTTGGCGATCGCGGCTGGTCCGGTCCTCGTAGCACGCCAGAAAGATGTCATCACCGGGGCCATCGGCATGGTCCAGAGCTCGCTCCAGAAGCTCGACACCGCCGTCAACAAGCTCTCGGCCACCGACCCGAACACCGCCGTCGGCGTCCTCAACGCGGCGCAGGGCGCGCAGACGACCCTCGAGAAAGCGGCCACCCAGATCTCGGGGGCTGACAACCTGGGGCTGATCGGGGCCCTCGGCCTCCAGCAGACGGCCGGCGACCTTGTGACGCAGGTCGAGACCACCCTCGGCGACCTCGAGAAGAAGAAGCCCGTGTTCGACCAGCTCGGCGTCAGCCCCGTCGTCGCCGACGCCCTTCAGCAGCAGAAGGCGGGCAGCGGCCAGCTCCAGGAGATGCTCCTGAGCAAGATTCCGGCAATCGCCCGCCCCATAGCGGAGAAGAGCACCGGCCAGCTCAGCACCGCCATTGATAGCGCCATCAAGACGTTCCAGAAGCCCGCAGCCGCAAAGCCCGCCGCTCCAGCGGTCC